GGGGCGGGCCCCAGCCATTTAAATTTAAATGAAGCCGCGATTATTTTAATCGCGGCTTCATTTCCCTTTTCCGATCTGGCTAATCTACATGCCTCCGTCGAAGGAGGCATGTAGTCTAGACACACCCTAGATGGTTTCAGAAAAAATACCGAACAACAACAACAAAAAAGCACGCCAGGAAAAAGTTGGTTGAGCAAGAAAAAAAGAACCCCGAGAGTTAAGCAAAAAAACAAACAAAAAAACCCCCCGTGACCCCTTTAAAAACCATGTGGTGAGGCTTTTGGGCCCTAACAGGCTGCCAGCGGCCGCTCGCCATCTTGCCTCCCTGCGCTGTGCCGGACAGCTCCCCTAGGGAACATGGTAAGCACTGGGGTTGCCAGGCTGTCTCTATATTGAGCTGGACAGCTCGGCATTTTCACCTCCTGGCTGGGAAAAAAATCAGAAAGTACCAGACATTTTAGGTGTCCGGTATTTTCTGAATTTTTTTACCGAACAGGAGGCGAAAATACCAGACTGTCTGGTTCAATACCGGACACCTGGCAGCTCTACCTGCTGGAGTTTATGCTCCTTTCTATTTTCCTCACTAGAATTTAACGTCCACTTTTGAAACATTGCCTTTTTGCCACTCACTGCTTCTCTTGCTTTGTCGTTTAGCCACGGTGGCACTTTTTGGTTCTCTTACTATGTTTTTTTTAAATGTGGGGGATACATTTGTGGTGCGCCTCTGTTACAGGGGCTTTACAAAGTTTCCACGCGGCTTGCAGGGATGTCACTTTTGATACTGTGCCTTTTATTTGCTGTGTAACTAGCTTCCTAACTTTTGCGGAGTCCCCCTTTCTGAAATGGAATGCTAGGGTTTTGGCCTGTGTGGTGTTTTCCCCTCCACAGGGATGTTATATGACGGTCGCGATTACCAAACAGTCCAGTTGCAGTCACATCTGGGACCAGATCCTGTGCTTAGGACTAAATCAAGAATTGCCTCTCCTCCTGTGGGTTCTAAGATGCCCCAGAACTCACCAGCCTGGCCACAGCCTGGAAGTCAAAATGTACTTTGATCCCCACAGCAATGACTAGGACACCCTGACCTAGAGTAATAAAATCAGCGCCATGGCCCGGTCCCAGTTCCCCTTCTGAAAAGACGGCTCCGAACCGGCCCTCGCGACGGAGACGGAACCGGCCCTCGCGACGGAGACGGAACCGGCCCTCGCGACGGAGACGGAACCGGCCCTCGCGACGGAGACGGAACCGGCCCTCGCGACGGAGACGGAACCGGCCCTCGCGACGGAGACGGAACCGGCCCTCGCGACGGAGACGGAACCGGCCCTCGCGACGGAGACGGAACCGGCCCTCGCGACGGAGACGGAACCGGCCCTCGCGACGGAGACGGAACCGGCCCTCGCGACGGAGACGGAACCGGCCCTCGCGACGGAGACGGAACCGGCCCTCGCGACGGAGACGGAACCGGCCCTCGCGACGGAGACGGAACCGGCCCTCGCGACGGAGACGGAACCGGCCCTCGCGACGGAGACGGAACCGGCCCTCGCGACGGAGACGGAACCGGCCCTCGCGACGGAGACGGAACCGGCCCTCGCGACGGAGACGGAACCGGCCCTCGCGACGGAGACGGAACCGGCCCTCGCGACGGAGACGGAACCGGCCCTCGCGACGGAGACGGAACCGGCCCTCGCGACGGAGACGGAACCGGCCCTCGCGACGGAGACGGAACCGGCCCTCGCGACGGAGACGGAACCGGCCCTCGCGACGGAGACGGAACCGGCCCTCGCGACGGAGACGGAACCGGCCCTCGCGACGGAGACGGAACCGGCCCTCGCGACGGAGACGGAACCGGCCCTCGCGACGGAGACGGAACCGGCCCTCGCGACGGAGACGGAACCGGCCCTCGCGACGGAGACGGAACCGGCCCTCGCGACGGAGACGGAACCGGCCCTCGCGACGGAGACGGAACCGGCCCTCGCGACGGAGACGGAACCGGCCCTCGCGACGGAGACGGAACCGGCCCTCGCGACGGAGACGGAACCGGCCCTCGCGACGGAGACGGAACCGGCCCTCGCGACGGAGACGGAACCGGCCCTCGCGACGGAGACGGAACCGGCCCTCGCGACGGAGACGGAACCGGCCCTCGCGACGGAGACGGAACCGGCCCTCGCGACGGAGACGGAACCGGCCCTCGCGACGGAGACGGAACCGGCCCTCGCGACGGAGACGGAACCGGCCCTCGCGACGGAGACGGAACCGGCCCTCGCGACGGAGACGGAACCGGCCCTCGCGACGGAGACGGAACCGGCCCTCGCGACGGAGACCGGCCAGCAGGGCTCGGTCTGCCCTCGCCACAGGCCCCGAGGCAGGGGGGAGACCCCGGGGAGACAGCCCTGGAGAGCAAAGCCAGAGCTGTACCTGGAGAAGGAGAGAGCAGAGCCTGGGCAGTGCTCTGTACTGCAGGGACTCCCTCTAAGGGGGGGAAGCAGGAGCCCCATGGCCCATCCATCTCTCCCCCACAAGTCTGCCACCTGCACCAGTTTCTGCGAGGCCCTCTGCCCCCCCGAGGAATTGCACCCTGCACCCCCTGTCCAGTCCTCCAGTACGGAGCCCCCTCCCCTCCCTCCTCTGCCTTCTGTTCCATGCCCCGGAGCCAGGCCTCCCCCTCGGCCCCTCCTCCCTGCACCTGTGCAGCCACCAGGAACCAGGGCAGGGCGGGAGGAAGGGCACCGGGGAGGGGCGGGGAGGGTCCCTTCTCT